GGTCAAGTTGTTTAGTGTGTTAGCATATAAACAGTTGCTAATTCATACTAAGTACAACTGACATGACTTCTGTTTATGTTGCAGGTATTTGGTCACAAACCAAAGAATTGGACCTAAAAAAAAATTTACTTTGTGATGGCGCTAAACGGAAGGTGAAGGGGTGATGAAAGTAAAAATGCATCCTGGGAGAAACATGAAGGTCTGTCACTCTCCAATAGTTGACCAGATGTTTCAAAAATCAAAAACAATAACCTCATGGTGGCACTACACTGAAAGTCACTCACCTCAAACCCAGATTTCATTAAAGAACTCCCGACGTCTGTACAAACGTCTACAGCAATCCATCCAATACTCTTGGATTGGAATGTGGAAAAAAATGGCGGCCTGACCAGCCAACACTGCCGACGCTAGAGCCGTTTGTTGTCTCGGCTAAAAATTTAGAGAGGTTCTACTTAAATAGTTTAAAGATCAGTACAGAGAAACATGCTTGTCTTGTCTTGCAATGCCAGCTGCATCTAATTAGAGCTGAATAAAACTTTGGTGTTGCTGAGCAGGTTTCTTATTCAATAATAATATTTCACTGCCGTAGCATCGAGCTAGAAAGTATTTTTCCATTTCAAATCTGCGGGAATCACGGTATTTAGGTCAAATGTTTTTATTGGCAGTGTAAGTCTGCCTGAATGAGCCGCCCGGCGGCCGGTGAAATCAAATAAATTGCATAACGCTTACATCCTCATTCAGCAGGGAAGTGACTCAGCTGCACTGAGTGAAAGTCAGTTTGGTCCAGCAGTGACACACCTTCTGTCTGTAAGTCATTATACTTGCACCATCTGATGTTAGACGAGCCTTTAGGGAATTTAGAAATTTTTGATGTTGCAAAACTAAATAATCTGTCTAGTGACGCTGCAAAAAAGCAAAACTTCCACACTGACAACACAGAATGAGATTAACAAGGAATGAGTGAGGAAGTGAATAAAAACCAGTCAGCGTGCGGGTCGTGTTTGAGCAAAGTCATCACTTTCTAATCCCTCCATCATCTCCAGTCATACAAAGTGCAACGTAAACTGCAGACATAACCCTTGCTTCTTGTTGCTTGATGTCAGAGACTTGATTTGCCCTGATTTTGCAACTGCCCTGAACTGACCTCCAGGTTGTTGAGAGTGTTGAACTCCATCAGGTCATGAAGTCGGGTGAACGCCTCGTTGGAGTACTGGAAGTTGAAGGTGGAGAATGGGCTCTCGGGGTCATCAAAGATGTCAAAATCTGCCAACTCCTTCTCCTTTTCAGTCTCTCTGGGAACACCTGTACGCAAGTTCATAAATGAGAGAGTCAGAAAAAACCCAGATCAACAAAGACCGACTGGGATGAAACTTGGTATCAGACACAAGTTCACTCCAAGTGCAAAGTTTTCTCAAAGGTCTTGATCTTCATCCAACTGTGATCATAATCAACAGCACTTTTGTCCATTTAAGTATAAAAACTCATTCTGGACTTTCAAATCACCCAAACTGATCGGTTTTGATTTTACTGACAGTGTTTGTTCAGGTCAAAACCAAACTGAGAAAACCGCTGATAAATACTGTGTGACGTAGCTGAGAGTTCAAGAAAGGCCAGATGTTGAAGTGAGCTCGTCTTGTCATTTATTCCACTCAGATCTTAAGTGACTCACTTAAACATGCAGCCCACTGAAGAGCACTTACTGCAATAGAAATCACTGTTTATAATCTACACCACTCCATGTTTCAGACTCAATCTTTGTGCTAGACAACTAATTCTTTACTTTTTTGTATCTAGACATGCAGCATGCAAACTTTAAGGCAGAAGTTTAGAAAGGAACTGCCAAGAATCATTAAAAGGGTCACGTCTGGATCCACTATGAAAATAGTTTGACTTGACAATCTCTTGTTCTTTTACTATTGCAGCTGACCTCTGAACAGCATCTCATCGCTGGCAGCGGATTAAAACTGGAGACTGAATGAATGAGACATGATTTGCAAACAAAACTCTTTTAAAAACACAGATTTTTGCAGATCCAAGTAGGATTCACAACATGTGTGAAAGTCCTAATTAATCCTGATGGATCAGCTGCTGTGAAAAAAAGAAGCTTCACATTTGATTTTAATGCATTGTCTAAGATGCAGGAGGAAGTTTCGTTTTAGGAGACGGAGCCTTCAGTGGTGAGCTCATACCAGAAGTCCATTTTTGGTGTAATTCCATGAGATGTCTTTTTGGGTTTGCGTGCTCGTGTAACATCCATAAACAGGCTGAGGAAGTATGTGGGCGGATGACCTACTGAATGTAAAGAGGCAGCGGTGGAGATGTGATGATAGCGTGTCTTTGTATGGCTCCTGATGTATGGCCTGTTTATACTGAGAGGTCTCCCACTGCAGCGAGAGATTCCCTACCAGCACCTGGCTCCTTAAGGAACCATATTTCACTTGAGCAGGTCGTAAAACACTGAACATACTGTGTTTCACTTTGGCGTGTGCACACACACACTCACACACACACACAGCAGAGACACAACATTTCCACCACGCAGCCACACTGACCCTGGATACCAGCTGTTTGTTGGGGTCACTTGAACGAGGGGCCTAACTGTCGGCAAAACTTCAAAACGCTGTCTGCTGCACTGACTGTGCCTGAAGTCTACAGCGCAACTTCGAGGAAGCGATGCCTCATGTGTCATTACAGTAAAATGACATTATTATACTAATAGACGGAGCCTTGGCATATTTTCCTCCACGTACACGCCGTGGAAACCTTCACACACGCCAATACTTACCAGGCGCTTTGAATTTCCTGAAGTTGATGTTGACCAGGACGAAGTGGATGACAGTCGGGCAGTTCTTTTCTCCTTTTTTTGGTTTGAAGACGTAACATTCCTTCAGACCCTCGCGGTCAAAGACTTTTGGGTCGATCTTGGGGAATGGGAGCTTGTTCATTCTGGCCCACTTCTCTGCTAGCAGAAGCTCCTGCGGTGCACGTATTCACATTGGAAAACATTGGTCATGACTTTCTGAGTACGAGAATCACTTCGAGTAATTCATGACAGTAAAAACAGTCTAATTCTGACCTTGAACGGAGGGCTGGAGTCGCTCGGTCGCGCAGAGAAGTCAAAGGAGATGATGAGGTCGACGCCACGCTGCGGCCGCAGGATGAGCGGGTAGGGAAGGTTGTAGGTCAGGCCGCTGTCCACCACATGGATCTTCTTACTCTTCACGTCCAGAGGTTCATAAATGCGATCAAACTCATCTGGATCTGAAAAAATTATAGAAAATTTAATAAATGATGCAGGAAAAATACGTTTTTTTTGTCTGCCGCCAAATATAAACCAGATTTCTGTGTAACTAAACTGTAAATGGTCTGCACTTATATAGCGCTTTACAATGTGTTTCTCATTCACCCGTTCACACATTCATACACCAATGGCCACAGAGCTGCCATGCTGCCTGCCATTGGGAGCAACTTCGGGTTCAGTGTCTTGCTCAAGGACACTTGGACTGTGAAGGGGATCAAACCACCAACCTTACGATCAGAGGACAACCCGCTCTACCACCTGAGCCACAGCTGTCTATGTGTAAACCACAGACGGAGCTAATTAGCAACTAGCATAGAGAACACATCGCTGTAGCAGCTTAAATATTTCCCTCAGAAGTTGATGGCTCCAGAACAGAGCTAACAGACACCATCGAAATAAATGCTCATGTTCTACTGGAGGTGAAACCAGAACATTCACTGGTGATACATCCATACAGTTTGTTTCTATCGTCCAAAAGTGTCCAAAGAGTCAATTAATATTACTTTAACAAAAGGAAAACAGACAAAAAAAAAAGGAAATATCAAAACACAAATGGTCTTTTTTCATATTTGGTCCAGTTGGTGCAACTGGGTTCGTAGACAAATTATGTTAAGATTAGGTTTAAAAAGCAGCCCTGAGTGTATTTAGATCTATGTGCATTACAAGCTAATTAACACAGATAGTAATACAGGATTATTCTTCTCTTTTTCCACAGACGTCCGATCACGGCTCTGGCTACAACTTCTAAACAGTGCAAGATGGGATTATCAAGAAACTGCAGATGGAATCAAAACTTTGTGTGTAAAATGATCAGAAATGACACCTGTAAATAAAATAGTGAATTATTTATCCTTCTTACCTGTGACAGCGTCCACCTCCTCCTCAGGCGTAGGGGCGTGGCACGTCATCTCATTGATGGGTGAGAATGGGATGCTGGTGTTCAGGTTCAGGCCCAACATGAAGTTATGCACCTGGTTCAAAGGTAAGAAGAGGCTTCATAGTGGAACATGCAGGCTGTGATGAATGTGTATAAACTTCAGGGAAAAGTGAAAACATATTTTTTGCAAGGACTGTTAGAATTAATTAAAACTTCTAAACACCTTCCCAGCTCGGCCCTCTCTTGTGTTGAACAAGGCAGAGTCACTGAAGAGGGACGTGAACATCCGCTGAACCCAGCTGGCCTGAGCGGTGCGATGGAACTCATCCTCTGCCTCCTGGTTTTCTGTCCCACCTGAACACCAAAGAAATGTCAATTTATTTAAAACTGTATCGCCTGACAGTAATTGTATGACTTCTACACTAAACGGTAGAGTAGCTAGTTCAAAACACAGGCCTCACTATTGGACTTTTTTATGACACCACTTGTATTTTTGATGACAGACTCGATCTTCCTCAGCACAGAACAGATCACATTTCTGTAGCGATGTCCTGCTGCTCTTTAGAGACTTTTTTTCCTCCAGCTGCTCTTTCCTGGAGGGTTTGTGTTGCTCTACCTTTCTCCTTAAAATGTCTTAAGGGTGTATTGTTGCATTCAAGTCAGGCGACATACTTGGCCAGGTTTTAGTTTTCACTTGGAAACTGTGTTTGAAATTCTTCTTGTGTGATTTTGGCAGTGTGCTTTGGATCCTTATCACGCAGGAAACTTGCATTGTGCAGACTGAGAGTCACCTTGTCAGTCAGTATTTTGCAGCATTCATGGTGCCATCTAAAAAAGCCAGGTCTATTGAGCTTAAGCAGCCCACTACGAACACCGTCGTGCTTCACTGTCGGGACTGTGCATTCACTGTGGTAGTCCTGGAGAGGGTCGTGTCAAACATGCTGAACTCTATCTGACCTGAACAAAGTCATTTTGGTCTGATCTGACCTAATAATGGCAAGGCAGGGCAACGCAGGTTTATCTGTACGGCACAATTTGTAGCCGAGGTCATTCAAAGTGCTTCACACAAAACTACAAGAAGATAAAGTCATCCCACAGAACAGAAACACAGTTATAGAGGCAGATAAAATCAATCCATAAATACATAAATATAATCATTCATTAGACGAGTACAGATTGAATACGTCCAGCTGTCATATGAACAACTAAACAGAAATGTTTTCAGTCTGGATTTGAACGTTGTCAGAGTTGAGGCCCGTCTCACATCTTCTGAAATCCAGTTCCAGGTTTTAGCTGCAGAAAACTGGAATGCAGCCTCTGTTTGGTCCTGACTCTGGGAATCAGCAGGAGACCCTCCCTGAGGTTCTCAGAGTAGTGGTGGTACTAGTAGTAGTAGTTCTAGTTGAGTAGTAGTAGTAGTAGTAGTAGTAGTAGTAGTAGTCGTAGTAGTAGTTCTAGCCTCACCGTGTTTGGTCCTGACCCTGGGCACCAGCAGCAGACCCTCCCTGAGGTTCTGTCAGAGCCCGACATGGTCCAGATGGCACCAACATGTCAGAGATGTACTTTGGTGCTGGACCATGAAGAGACTTGGACACAAGCTGTTTTAAAGTCACTTCTCTGAGCGACAGGAAGCCGATGCAGAGACTTGAGCACTGGACTAACATGGTGGTACTTCCTGGTTCTAGTCAGGACTCGAGCAGCAGCGTTCTGGATCAACTGCAGCCGTCTTACAGCTGGTTTAGAGCAAAGAGACCCCAGGTGTCCTCACCAGGGCACGAACCAGAGACCTTCTTGCTGCGTGGCAATGGTGCTAACCACCCAGCCACCTGGCAGCCCCTTTTTCAGAACTAGATGATGCAAATTGCACACTGTACGTGGCGCCATTTTAGGAGGACGATCACTCTGACTTTGGTTAATAGTAGCGTGGTGTTCTACTCTATTAGGACCTGTATGTTTAAATATCATCTTCCTAAAGAACGAGCTTTTTAATGTTTGGAGGAGGAAATTTTTATTTACCAACTTAGAAATAATGCAATTATTGAGAGATGATGCAGCTTTATCATCTGTCTACCTTCCTCTTCACTGTGTCTGATACATATATTCAAATTCGTTAGTCGGTTTGACTGTAATCTGGCAGCGCCGCAGGTGAAGTTACTGAGCTATGAATTAAACTTCCCTATTTTAAAAGATGCAAACCTTTGCTGCTGCTGCTGCTGCTAATTTTACATTGCAGCACAAACGTGTCAACATCACAAATGTTATAAAGGTGCAGCTGTTTTCAGTGGTTGGCTACGGTATAGTTCTTGTTATCACGTTCTTATCATTCTTTTTTGTGTGGTATTGGAAAACCTATAGCACTTTTTTTTCCCTGTCGGGCTAATATGTAAAAGGCCTTCTTTCAAAAATCCCTGAAAAATAATAGAAAAAGGGTAGGAGAGGTGTTAAATACAAAAAAAAAGGTGGGGAGAGAGAATTTCACATGTTTAATATGTACACAAAGACGTGAACTTAAATTAAATGGATTTTAAACATAGAGTCTAAGTGTTTTTTACAGGTAGTCATGTAATCCCACCCATGAGGGCAATTCATTTGAAGACATTAGTCTGTCTTTCAGTTCTGTAGCTCACCCACCTCGTCTCTCTCTCTTTCTCCATCTGACTTCCTCACTCTATCTAAAGGTTTCTGACAAATTCACTTGTAATAAACTTCACACTTGAAAGAAAAAAAAAAGAGAAACGGCTTCCTAGAACGTACAGAATTACTAATTGGGTTATAAAGAGCAGAACACAAAAACCCCTCTGCTATGAGGTGCACAAAGGTTTAGACGTGAAAACTCGCTGATCAGCTTCGACCACAGCAGCTGCTTTGATGCAACTGCTTCACACCGACGGATGCAAATGGAAACAAAACCAGAAATTCAAAAAGGTGTGAAAAAGGAATCGCGTTTCCTCTCAAGCAGTGTGTCAGAGTGTAGACACACATCTCTGTTGGACCGTGAATCTTAATAATATTGAACGTAAGGAAATCTGAGTGGAGCCCTTGCGATGAACATCTTTCTCACCTTTGCGTGGCTCGTCATCATTGTCCATGCTGTCTTCCCCGACAATGTGCTGGGGTTTGATCTGCTCTGTAAGACACAAGACAATTTCACTCTTCAGGTTTCGACTTAAAAAAAAAACAAAAAGAAGCGTGTTTGTCTCATTTATACCGCACATCAAAACTGCACCTGTTTGTGCTCAGCTGCATGACATTATCAAATTCATGTCTATTGTTCATCTCCATCAAAATGAGGCCTGACAGAAATGTGATACACCTGATGCACTAGGACATTCTTTAACTAGGTGGAGACCTTCTTAGCACATTTGTACAACCAGCACATTGTCAGAGGGCGTCAGAATGTGAAAAGGTCACCCTAAACAGATGCATTCAAGCAAAACAAACGTCCAATGAGCTGTCAGAATAATCACAGGAAGCTGATACTTTCTCACTGTTGTGGTAACCCCACGCAAACACACACACACACACTCACGTAACTTACTTGAAATAATGAGATTCTAGTGAGATAATTTTAGCTTGACTGATTATAAAGCTGTGAGAAAGTCTGCTGGTGTCAAAGTGTGTGAAAAAAAACCCTGACAGAAGACAAAAGGATCTCAGATATGATGCGATTTTATCAGTCGATCAATGTACTAAAATAAAGACTTCATCTGAACACCTAAATAAACACAAAGCACCCACAACTCAAACCCACATCTCCGATGATGTTTTAAGATCTGCGATTCTACAACATACTGTCACATATATACACATATGCTGCATAAAGATTATCCATTTTGTTATTATCATCAATATCCATCAATAATCTTAATCAACTAATTGTTTGGTAAATACATCCGAGTATAGAAAACGTTTTGGGGTTGTTTTCTTGGTGAGTCTTGTAGCTGTTCAGCACTTTTAAAAGACAACTGAAAGCATTTTAAGTGCTGCAATGTTTTTTATTTTTCATTGAAAACGTTCTGTTGCTCATATTTCTGTTCATTATAATGCAGAAGGAGTTGAATTTGAAGACACTTCTCTCCTGCTTACTTCCATTTAATTATTTTTTCTGCACTCAATATAAAAGATTTGTTTTATTGTCTTGAGATTTGATGTTATCTGATACTGGAAGTTATTTTATTGGACAAAACACTCACAATAAACCGTCCATTCAGTGGAGGGACTCTCCATCTGATCATCTGATCAGGTCAGCAGGTCAACAATGTACTTTCAGGTTTCAAGTTTGAGACCAACATAAATAACAAAACTGTAAAGTGCTTCGGAAAAACAGAAAAGAATTTAATTTAAGCTAACTCCATGCGCTGATCTGCTGATGAACATCATATGATAAACTTCAAACATTCCCAAGCAGCTGCTGCATTCACCTTGTGATGAGATTGTCTTGTTGGTTTTAAGCAAATAATTATTTAGAGCGTTCTCTCTTTAAGTCAGTAAACTGGAGCTCAGTCCAAACACACTGAACAACAGACAGAACAGTTTACCGAGCTCCTCCTCCATGGTGCTGCCACCAGCCGTGTCCTTGACTCCCAGCACTCTGTTGAACAGGATCGAGAAGGCGCTTCCCCACACACCTGGACCAGCAGAAACATGCCTGTCAGTATCACCACAGAAGGCTCTTTCACTGAGTGCTGCAGATAAAACATCTCTCTTACCCATCAGAAAGTGAAGTGGGTTCTCCTCGTATTTCTTCACAACAGTTCCCATAAAGAATTTACTTCCAAACATGTCGGGGGTCATGAAGGTTCCATACTTTGCCATCCCGATTTCATACGGGCTGAACTCCACCCAGTCTGCAAGAGCAAACCTTAGTGTTAATGTCACAAAAGTAAAAACAGAATCACCATTTAAAATTCAGCAAGCAAGCAGAATGGGAGGCAGAGCCTTCAGCTGTTCCTCTGTCATAGAATCAGCTCCCAGTTTGGGTTCAGGAGGCAGACATCCTCCCTATGTTTCGGGTTAGGCTGATTATTTTGATAAAACGTAAAGCTGGGACAGGCTCAGCTGAGTCTGAACCATCCTTTATGCTGTTGCAGGTCTAGACTGCTGGTGGACTCAGCACCTCTACCCGTCTCTCCTTCCCTCTCCACACATTGACACGCCACCATTGCATGTCACTGACTTTGTGCCTTCTCTCTCCTGCAGATTGTGTTTTGTCCTCTCTGGCTGTGGAGCTGCACTTTTCTCATCTACAGTGTTCATTGTTCTCTTGTTTTCAATCTGCTGTCCTGCTTTCTGTTCCCCTTCACCTTCACCCTATCTGGTGGAGGCAGATGACTGACCTTCCTGGTTCTGCTGAAGGTTTCTTCCTGGTAAAGGGGAGTATTTATTACCACTGTTGCCAAGTGTTGGGTTTCTCCGTATCATTGTGTAAGTCCAGCAATACCACACCTACAGTTATGCCACTAACGAAGCTAAAAAGAACTGTGGCGGAGATGCACTGATGATATTCCTCATTTTGATTGGGTCGAATGCACGCTCACCCACTCTCTCTCTCTCTCTCTCTCTCTATTGCGAACATTTCTTTAGGATTCTGGTCCGTATTGATATGATTGTACCACATAATCTCTCTAGATTTGCAGACTTTATGCAACAGTCATGATGTACATTTGCTGTCTCCAAATACCCAAAGATGCCTAAAGATGGGCAAACTGTGGCCCTACAGGGATACACATGGTCCTACAAGTCACTGTATGGACGGCGGTTTGAGGTAGTTTGTCTGGTTATATGCACAAAATATACTGAAAAAGTAAAGGTGGGTTCTGTAACTTCTATAGTACACACAGAGAAGTCAAAACAGGGGGTCACTAAGGGTCCAAACATCCATTCTGCACAAGGGTTTTGCTCCAGCGTAAACTGGAAGTGTAGCAGGGAACAGCATAAACTCTTTTACACCCTGACCTGAACACAACATGTCATTGGGGCAGATTTTTTTGCAGCTTTTACATTCAGGTTTGCAACCACGAATAGCTGCAGGAGTGCAGACAAACATACACACAAGCACATGCATAGATAACAGAAATACTTAACCGTCTGTAACCCTTAAGACAGTAATTGCCTTTTTAAATGTGCAGATTATTTCACAACAGAGCTTTACTTAAGCCGTCTTTTGACAGCCAGGTATTTTCCACTGAGCTGGCTCATAAAGAAACTGGGGATTTTAGGTAAGAGGAGAATAAAAAAAACAAAAAACAGAAGAACAAGCCTCGTCTATTTTAGTCGCACTTTAAAAAGACTTACTACTTGAGTATCTACTTTTGGAGGATCATTTTTAAAGTTTAGGCGTGATGACGAGAGCTAACAATAGAAAAACATGTAATTCTAGATTGGGAACAAGTTTGGCCTCGCCCTGACACATATCGGAGGAACACTGCAAAATAATGGCCACAACTAAAATATAGCACACCTTTGGTCAGTTTCTATCGTTATCTATTCTGTTGTCACCCAAACTCTGACAGGAGATATTGTCAAACGTCATCTCCAAGTCCTGCATTGTTGTGACTGTGAACTGTAGATTTCAGTTTTCTCTACTGAACTGAAAAGCCACAGTTCAACAGGCATGCTTGTATTTCTCTGAACATGAAATAAGCAACTGTAGAGCAAAACACAAAAACAACATCTGATTTTGATTTATGAACTCACACATTTCCTCAAAGTAACAAGAATGCTTTGAGTGTGTGCCAGCATCTAGTGAATGAGGATATGAAGATTGAATTGCCACTGCAGCAACTATGATGAGATTTTTTGACACTTTTGGCTCGAAGTCAGATGGATTTCAAACTTTTTTCAAACTATTTATCGGTGCACTGTTACACACAAGAGGTCCAGGAAGTGTCCCCCAAGCCACCACTTGAGTCTTATTCTAGTATTACTTTTGGTTTTTAGTTTTAAACCCAATGGAGAGTGTGTTCATTGATCTATCCAAGATTATTACAGATTTGTGTTGCTCCTTCATCATATTTTCCCTTTAAATGATCCAGTCTTTTCCACTGAAATGCCGTGTAAAGTTGCTGCTCAGGGCTCCACAATGAGGAACTACTGAACAGTACGGGACTAACCCAGAGTCCATCACGACCTTGCGCTCACTACTCAGTTCCTCGATATAACTCAGCTGCTATCTGTGACCACAGAACCGTCATTAGATGACAGTCCACCACGTCATATCACATCCTCTGTGCGACAGCAGTGGTATTATAAGGAAACGTACCGCTTGGTTACTTTGCATACGGCCACACTCATCTGATTGTCTGTAGTTACTCATTACTGATGCAAATAAGCTGTGTGAGGGTTGTGGGCTGCATGCAACACACAATTTAATATAAAAGCACCAGAAGACACTCAAAAAAAAAAAAAAAAACAAAGACTTTACCTGCAAACATGAGCTCAGAAACATCTGGCTTTACATGCAGACATGTGAAGAGCGGAAGAGGACTTTGGGCCTGGTCGATTTTTTCCTGGATGTCACTGAGCTTGGTGTCCATTCTCTGGTAGCACAGAACGCTTTTGTAAGTCATTCACACAGTATTCTTATGTTACATGTAGATTTCTATCTAAACATAAATATATGATCATGTGAAAGTAAAGTAAAAATGCTGTCAAGAGGGAATCAGGACAAAAGTGACCTTCAGATTAGGTCTGGATGAGACGCTAGTTTAAAAGCAACAAGAGGAAATAAAAGATGAACTCAGGGGGACTGATGAATTTGTGTAACACAAAGAAAAAGTTTTTTTTTTTCTAAAATAAAACTCGGAGTGGCTGTGAGGTGCTTCCTACCGCAGGTATAAGCGTCTCTCCTATGAGCATACCGAAGATATCGGTAAAGGTAACAGGCTGGCCTGAGGCTTTCTTGGTCCACAGGGCCTGGATGTAGTTGGTGATGTGCTGGGGGAGCAACAGCCTGAGCGGGTTACTGCTCACTCTCTTCATCAGCTCATCATTGATGTCTTTTGGACCCTTATTTGGAAAGCCAGGGTGGGAATAGAGAGTGGACATGTACCTACAGGCACAAGGAGGTAGAAGGTTAGAACGAAGCACTGTGCAAATCTCACTGCAGCATCACTCTGCTCGTTACAAGGTCTATCCTGTAGGGAAGCTAAACCCAGTAAGTCATGAAGACTGAAATAAGACAGAGGTACTTGCTTGATGAAAGCATCATATCAGCAGAGGAAGGCAGGAAAGTTTGCCAAAGCGGAGAGGGGCAACGCCGAAGGAGAGTCAGAAAGAAAAGAAGGACAAAGAAACAAGGCAGTGACAATAAGGACGAAGATAAAGAGAAAACATGTATTTAGCTCAGAGAAAGGCAGGGTGTAAAAAGAAAGAAAAAAAGACGGCATAAAAACGGACCAGGTGGATCCAGAGAGGCCGGCAATATATGTGGCACAGTCCAGGACCCCAGACTCAAACAGGGCCTTCATCACCCCCGAGAAGCCGACCATGGCACGAAAACCGCCTCCTGAACCTGCTATGGCGATCACTGGCACCTACAAAACACACAAACAAAGTGAGAATCATACGAGGAAGAAGGAAAAAAAACAGAGATGTGCTTATTCACATCAATACAAACTACAACGGCTACAAGTATGAGTATCAGATTCTTTCCACCTCATTCTTTGAGCTTGAGTAACTTCCTTCTGCTGACACGATACAGTCAGGCTGCCATGACAGTTGCATCATGCCTGTGCAACATCTTCTCGCTTAAGCCATCAGATTTTCAAAAATGTCATAATTCTCATTGTGCAACACTGCTTCCTTTCTCCAGTTTGTGTTTATCTTCAGGTCGCTTGTAAATATTTCCAGTCTTCTTGGAATAGTTGTTGGAGCATAGTAGAAGGCAGAAACTGGATATCTCATTTGTCTGAAGCTTCCGGCACATGCTGAAGACATGACCAGGCCTGGCAGGAGATTACCACCAAGCCCAAGGGCGTCTAGCCAAAACCACAGCAGCGGAAAGGCTAGCTTAGCTCATGGGCGATGGGCGATGGGTTTGGGGCTTTGTGAGGCTTAAAGTTCACTTTCCAGTGTGAGAAACATCGAAGTGTTGTTCTAATCTGCAAACGCAGCTTGTACAAAAACTGCACCACAGTTATAAATTTAGCAAGTCAGCAAGTTTGTAGCAAGCCTGAACACATTAGCTGGAGGCAACAGACCTCGGTGCTTCAAGCTATTTGTCGTTCTGCAATTTTTTGAAGTCTTCACTACAGCGACAGATCATAAATGTGAACTAGAAGAAAGATCGAACAATAAGTCCCACATCCATCATTGCATTTTGCACCAATCAGCCGCAGCATTAAATCCACTGACAGGTGAAGTGAGTAACGCTGAACATCTTCTTACTGTTCAACATTCTGCAGGGAAACCTTGGATCCTGACATTCACACCACCGACCTGAACATTGTTACTGACCAACACTACTCCACAGCGATGACACTAAGGAAGGAGCAGCCTCCCCCGGCAGACAGTGCATGCACAGATACTGCAAAAACTCATCAGGAACGACTCAAAGAACATGACAAAGACCCCGAGGTGGGGCTTCACTGGACTTCTAAACATCCCAATCTGCATTTGCAGGATGCACCAGAACAAGGCTGATCCATGGAGGCCTCACCCATCAAACCACAGGATCCACTTAAAATATCCCCCATAGGATCGCCCCAGAGCTCCAGTGTACATGGCTATACACTATACAGAACCAACAACCTGCATTCTTTCTTAGAGCCATCAGGGGGCAACTCCACTGGTTGCAAAAAAAGCAGTCCGATTGTATAGAAGTCTATGAGAAACCGACCCTACCTCTACCTTGACTTGTTACCGCCGTAAACATTTTCCTAATGTGTTTATGGTCTCAATCACTGGTTTCAAGTTTCCTTTAATAAAGCGTGATGCTGATTTAGTAAATTATGGACCTATTTCAGGTAAAATAGACGGTAAAGCTCGTAGCCAGATCCACCCAATGATCATCAAGCTGTTTAAGAGATGTTGATGTCACAGCTGCTACATCCATCATTTATTTACAGTCTATTTCTACGGCCCACTGGGTCAGAACTGTTTTGGTAGAACAAGTGGAACTGACACAATATCAGGCATGTTCTTGCTGACCAGTGTAAATAAACAGTGTCCAGTGTTTGGACGCTACAGTGAGTATAGATTATGTGTAATGCTAATATTTGCCTTCTGGGCTTCTAGAACCTTTTGACCTCCCACAAAAAACAAAAAAAAAAACACCAAACTCAGCAGTGAGTAGGAAGTGACACTCTTACAGTAAGTTCCTCCTCAGCTCCGGACATACGGGTCGGTGATGTGTGGAAGTTGTGGGGTTTTTGACAGGCTCTATAAATGACAGCTGTGGCAGCATACGTAATTTCAGGGCAACAATGAGGAAGCAGGGGTAGCAGTGAGGGTAGCTTAAGTTCACTTCAATGTGAATGTAAATGAAAAAAGTGAGTGCAGCTGTGTATAATGCTGACAGCCTGAACTCGCTCACAGCCTTACTTCATTATCCCGGCCCTGTTAACATGGTTGTGATTATTCCCTTCCTCGCCAAGAGCAGAAGAATGACATCATTCCCATGTGTGTGCATTATGAAATAGAAAGAAATAACTATCCTAGCTCATTTATTTAACCTGTACAAACAGAATAAACTAACATAAAACAAAACGTTAATTAGTGAACATTAGGGGTGATAGATTTTCCCACCTTCAGACAGAGCCAAGCCAGCTACTCTCCCTGGTTCCAGGCTTTGTGCTGATCTACTACAAGCTAATGGCTGCTGCCTAAATCTGTTCACACTTATTTGTTGTACATCATTATGTGTGTAGGTAAGTGCAACAGGTTGGTGAAACTAAGCGTTTGAATAAATTAAGCTATCACCTCAAAGTTTTACTCAGACAACTTTAAAATTTAAGATTAAACTACTGTCAAACAGGTGTCGGGTCAAATGGATGTTTAAACGCAGACTCAGTGGATCCGTGCTCACCTCCTCTGGAGAGCTGGGGAGGAAACGAGGCTTCTCCATGTCCAGGAGCTTCTTGATGCCGAGCATCACTCGTTCTCTGCGGGTTTGTCTGAACTGCTTCTCTTTGTCGCACAGGGCCAGGCTGAACCGCAGGTCCAGCTTTGTGCTGCAGATATAAATGGCAGGAGGAAGATTTACTAAATTCTGATCGAGCAAAGCTGAGCAATAAGTCATGTTATTCAAGCTTTTGTTTTCTGCTGAGAGGCAGATAGAGGATGTCATCTATTAGTCTGCACTACACTACCGATGATGATGAAACGGGTCTTTGGGTCACATAAGATCTACTTTGAGGTCATCTGGTGTGAAACACATTCACAGACCAGTATTCATGATCCCTTGCTCTTTGCTACTCACCTTATCCTAATGACAAATGCTTCAAACATGCTTGGCATTTCCGAACCCTCCTACTAACGCTGATGCAATGATGGCATGGGAAATATGAAGGACTTCGAGTGTATATTTAGCTTACCAAAGTATTCTGCTCTTACTGACTAATGCTGCTTCTAAATATAGTTTCTGAGCTACACTTTCTGTGTATTCTTGTACCTGTCACGTATCTGTACACCGGATGTAAGTTAGTTAGAACTGGTACTGCCTTCTGACACGTGGGTTTTTGTGTTAAACAGTAAATGGTGTTGAAACTACTGCGATGTGATTGTGAAGTTACTACATACCAGATCTCCAGCGACATCTCTAAGTGCACTTTGGTGGCCTGTCAAAATAATTGAATATGTGGTTATTGTTCATCCTTGGGTTGTGGTTGGCAAACACAAAGTAGACAAACAAAATCAATGACGTGAAAACATGCCGCAAATACTTTTTGCATCAGTGTCAGATTCACTGGACTTTCTCGGAATAGAATAATCATTTAATCCTTATCTGATGTAATTAATCACTGTTCTGTTGTTGACCTCTGTGCAAACATAACACTTCCTCTGTCACTGCTGGAATTCAGTGAAGCTCGTACACAGTATTTAATCAAACAGAACATCTACAGTGTCACGTGCGCATTTCCTTGTAATGCATAGACTATAGGTAGCAGCAACGTTTGCCTGCACAACATGAGCATATAATGTCAATCCTGAACAGCCAATGGAACAAACTGTCTTACTTTGCCAATAGGGAAAGCCTCCATCTTTTTCTGGCCCACTTGGAGCTTGGTGATGTCAAACGATGCCGTGCCAAGCGTCTCATCCATCACATAATTGGCATCCATTAATGTTAGCTGATTGGAATAAACAACGGTAGTTTATGGTTAAATACAAACTCAGCACATCAGTAATTCTGGCGTGTGTTTAGGTTCATCTGAACAACTCGTCTTCAAACCAGTTAAGTTAAACAGTGATCAGTGTAAACACAACGATCAGAAAAGCTTTCATTTATTCAGTTTTCCCTAGATGACCCTCAACGGCTGCAACAAGAGTCCTTCTGATGCCAGTTTCAGCTGATGATCCTGCCATATTATCTCATATCCGGCTAAAGGTGTGTTTATGTGGGCTTCTGCTCCACTACATCCCTGCTGCTCATCTGATGCTAAACAACAAACTGTGGGTCTGACCTCCAGGACGTTCTGCTGGTTGGGGTCCAATATAAAATCAAAGGTCTCGTTCCATTTCGGGTTGATGTCGTTGTCTATATGCTTGGTCCTCTTTCTGCTCTCTGGGGCGGTCGGGATGAACAGCTCCACGTATGGGTCTGGAGTGTCCACTGCATACAAACACACAGTCAGCAGTGTTACTAAACAGCAGAAGCCCAAAGTCACATGAACCACCAAACCTTCTACTGTCATTCATTCAACCAACAAAAACTCATCTCTGTGCATCAAAATCACATGTTTAGACTTTCTGCCATAAGAATGCAAAAATATGTTTTAATGTCACGTGGCTATGGGGCAAACAGAGAGCAAAGAGACTCACACAGGTCACCCAGCGCTCCTTTGGTGACGCTCTCAGCTCGAACCACCGTCACCGTGAATTTGTGAGAAAACTGCTGCTCCACCTGCAATACAACATTCATTCACCGCCCTGTGGGAAAATAGCTTTCACCGCTATGAGAGCAAAGATTACGAATCCAGATCACAGGTAGCTCAGAGTTCACATCCCACCTGTGCTCACGCCGTGCATTCATCTTGGCAGCAGAACAGTTCTTATCAAACCGACACCAGATTTTGATCAAAAAAACCTCACGGGGAATTAGCAGTGAAAGGTTCTGTACTATCAGGTAAATGGTGAACACTGTAGTCAGTCTGTAAAGAGGCAAATGAAATTTTGTTTCCCAGATGACCAGCCTTTAAAAGAAAACCTTGGAGTATGGTTTATTTCTGTTGTTCTCCAAAATGCCAAACCTTTTCCCCACAGCTTTATTTTCTTTCTCTCTACCTACATTTAAGCACCAGTGACAACCAGTATCAGGATGTAACTGGTACTTGGTTCATCGATGCAATTACACTGTGAATGGCAGCGCACATTATAAGAGAGTGTTATTAAACGTGCCACAGGTTACCTTGTGCCAATGTCTCCAAGGACAAAGGACAAAGGAAGCGTTGTATGACCTTCATAGATATGCGTCTCTGATCCCACATGATAGATTAAGAGCAGAATTTGTGTTGTTTTTTTGCTGTGTGTTAATGCTCAGTGCTGTTTTAAGGTGTGACCACTCCTAAGGGACACAAGAGTTCTTAGAAGACTGCATGTTTGAGACGCCCTGCTCAGGAAGCTTAAAAGCTATTTAGCAAAGACTATTTGGCCTAAAGAGGGCATTTGAAAATCTGTGTGATTAGACTTTGATTAACAGATATAAAATGGCATAACAGTGCTCTGAAGAGAGATATGACGAAGGCTATCTCACACTCATACCAGCTGCATAGACAAGCGCTCATTATAAACCTACTCAACCATTGCAATGATATCGAACGTGGCCTTGATGCGGAAATGTTTACTGCAGACCTTGCACAAGGGGTTTTTGCTTCCGAGCAACAGGAGTGAAATTCAGTCGACTGTGTTATCACTGAGAAACCGGTACACCATGACCTTCTTTGGAACGATTTGTCTCATGAAACTCTCAACTCCTGTTTCGGCTTGACCCTGCTTTACATGCCGGAAACAATACCTGAGTTAGTACTCACGATTATATTAGAAGCCATTGCGCTGACAGGAGTGAATTTCTCGGGAAAGCCTTCGTCAAGATGTTGACTCACCAGAACCTCTCAAACTGAAGCATTTAGAGCCTGAAGGATGAAACAAAGAAGTTGAGCATCAGTGCAAAGGCAGGATTGCGGCTTTAACACACAAACAACCGTTACGTTAAAAACAACACTGCTCTGGATGTTTTCCCAGCGTTCCCGTAATCACGCTTAACTGTCCGTCAGCGAAACTGGAAAGCACAGGGATCTACTTATGGGCAGAGCTGCCACTTCCTCCACAACCAGGAATTTTACTGTACTTTATAGAAGGACAACATACTAAAAACAAAAACGACTAAGTTGTTTCAGTGAAGCCGTTAATGACTTTGGAGGAGCAAGGGGAAGTGTGCTGAGCCACCAAGTCATGATAAGAGGACTGGCCCAATAGAGTGTGTGTGTGTGTGTGTGTGTGTAAGGACACCACATGTAAATGCAAAGAGGGTAAGAGAAGAGATGCCAGTAAAAGGAAGTGTGTCTTCTTCTTCTGATAATATGACAAGCCACATATAGAGTTGTGTAACATGAAAAATGTAAAGCTTGGTTTGCTTTTGCAGAAGAAGTGGTGAGACGATTATCTGAAACGAAGCTTTCCCATACATTAATGAAAGGTTTTCAGATGGGCTACGTGTGCATGTGAGCGTGTACATGTGTGTGTGTGTGTGTGTGTACGTGTGTGTGTGTGTGCCGGTGATAGCACATCAAGGTCATTGAGCCTTTTCTCATCTGTTCACCAAAGCGTATCATTACTGCGGGGACTGAGAGCACGTAGAGTGTCTGTGTGTTCACAGCAGTGGTCACGTACTTTGCATCAGTGGTCCAACTTTTTGAAAGTGCCAGCTCACTCTGGCCCTTGTTCTGCAGCATACAATGAGTGCATGCAGGCCGGCGAGCCAATACAAGCCGGACGCTTCCCAGCACTGCATTTTCATATGAGGGCACAAAATGTGAAAGAGGCACACAGCAGCCACACATAATGCAAAGCAGCTGCAGTGAGTGTAGCTTTTATACACTCAGTGCGGTAAACCTGTATGTATACTCCCCCGAGATATAAAAGGTAAAGGTCGGACGATTACTTCTATGAATCACTGTGCATTTCCCAAAAGACATATTACAGCGAAGAGTCATTGCAGTGTAACTCTTATGTGGATTACAGGGTTCATACAAGACTTGTCATTAGGCACTGTTAACAGGTTTTGCCTGAATCATACTAGCTGGGCAGATTAAGGCCAGAGCAGACAGGGCCTGATGATAAGTGTGCAACATGCAATGATGGCGAGTGTTGTTGTTTCATGTAAGACAATGCAGGAAAAACTCTTCATTTGCAATCATGTAAACATAAAACATGACATCAAGGTGGGATGTGATACACACATTCTCCTAGAAGCAACGAGCTGTCTATGTTTGCACAGATCTGTCTTCTTTAGAGCTCAGTATAGGCACTGACAAACTGGGTTCATACAACTTTGTCTATATGCGTTACTGAGAGCGTCTGAGCAGTTTCCTTATCCTCTGAATTGCGTAAAATGTGGGCTTTCACGAAGACGCTGTTTCAGCCAGCAGCAGCAGCAGCAGCAGTTCTTGGCACTGACCTCCTCCACCAGTTCCTCGTTCACTTCTATTGTCTAAACACAGCAATTTATCTAGGAAAGGAACGAAATGTCAACATACCTTAACAGAACCACCGTATCAACTCACAAATCCCGTAAAATGTGTCATGTTCATCGAGGATATCGTTCCAGCTCTGCAGGAGTAGCGCGGAGGAGGTGCTTCTCGGCTGAACAGCACAAACGATCACCCGGCAGTCAAGAGGATCGGAGTTTACCGTGTCAGTAACAAGCAGCTGCTACGCGTAGGCAACAAAAATGACAGTAAGTGAAAAAACGAAGGAGTAAAAAAAAAAAAAAACACTTGCTGGATGGGAAAAAGTTAGGAAAACTCCGAAGAGTCAGGCTTTGACTCAGCGGGGGAAGCTGCAGCTGGCTACAGCCACAAACGTCTCCAATTGCGCATCAGTGCGCAACGACGTCCACAGGAGGGCGCGTAAAGACAGTTTGTTGCCAGAATAAACAACCTTTGTTTTTTTGAGAATGACACAGAGGTGACGGTGAAGTTTAACCGATTATTCCGTGTGTTGAATCAGCCCGCTTCTTTACAGCCATGAATTCATAAGAACATTATTATACTGAAACACTTCCGCAGATTCTTATCAAGAAAGATGCTTTCAAGTATTTAACAATTTCAACAATCCAATTATATCAATATATCAGTATCAATCATCCAACAATTTCCCTGAGGTTTGCACCAAAGGGATCAATAAAGTTCTATTCTATTCTATTCTATTCTATTTATTCATTTAGACATCAAAAAAGAGACTGAGCTACAAACCGACATCCATCCTGGATCCACATAGTATTCACATGTTTAATTGTATTCATGGAATTACTTTATCTCTTAGACAATTACACGACCAAGTCTCATTATTCAAAAAGTACAACTCGTGCATTTGATGTTTCTTTACTTTTTTTCACGACAAGTTATGAAGGCTACTGATTTTTCTTCCTCCTCTGGTGGAAATATATTCTATGAAACAGACTCAGGGAGTGGGAACTGAAAATCTTAAAGACTGTCGATAGAATGCATTTTTATAAAGTGCACAGGGATACGTGCAGCTTTATATATGAAAGCTGCAGCTTTGGAGGCGGCTGTGATACGTTGGTTTCAACACGAAATGAATTCCGCTGAAAAAGAGGGAAAGTTAAATCAAGAAAAGCGCTCAAATGACCGTATTGCTGCTAAAATAAATACATATTTTTTTATTTTATTTTTTTTAAAATCCACCTATATTCATATCCGGATAAATGAGAGATTAGGAGTTATGAAAGACACGATATTCCCGGGGCACCTCTCACTCTCTGGTATGTGACTGAGTCTGTGTCATCCATGTGACGTCAACGCGCAGCGCGCATATAAGGTGGGTCGTCTCTCAGGTCTCTCACATTCAAACTTTCACCCTCACAGCGGAGGTTCCTTGGAGGAGAGAAGGAAAGAAAAAAGGATCTGACGAAGTCTTTGGAGTATGACCAGACTCACATTTGCGGTTTTCCTGTTGGCACTGGGCTTTCTTCTCTGCGAAAGTGGTGAGCTGAGAAACTTCAAACGAATCTCTGACAATTTATCCAGAAACTATGAATCTGAGCAAGTTAAAAAAAAATATGGTTATAGACCAGGATTTTTTGTTTCCTGTTAGAAGATGCTACAGCCATTATAACATAATGACATGGACTTTATAAAAATGTGGAGCATAAAAACACAAAAACTTTCAATGAGATTGTGAGATTGTGGGATCTAATAGGTTTGTCTTGAATTCTTAGTGAATGCCAAACATTATCTGTTCCAGGTAACCCATGTTGCTCAGAGCCATGCCAGAACAGGGGGGTTTGCACAGCCCTCGGGTCCGATAACTATGAGTGCGACTGCACACGGACAGGCTTTCATGGACAGAACTGCACAACACGTAAGCATCAACCCATGAGCTGAATCTGACATTAGGATGTGTTTGTTGTAATTACATGTTCGGTTAATTAACCTTCCCTCTTCTTTGCCGCTTTTACAGCTGAATTCTTCACCTGGCTCAAAGTGTCCCTGAAACCGTCGCCCAACACCGTTCACTACCTTCTCACTCACTTTAAGGGCTTCTGGAACATCATCAACAACATCTCATTTCTCAGAGATGCCATCATGAAATATGTGCTGACGTGTGAGTGTCTTTAGCTGAAGGCAAAATGAAAAGATTGGCTGGAAACTTCCTGATAGCACATTAATTAATTTGTACAGCAGCTTGTGGAGAACCCGGTGATGTGTTTCGACTAATGTGGTTTTCTCCTCTCTCCAGCCCGATCCCACCTGATTGATAGCCCTCCAACTTTCAATGCGGATTATGGTTACAAAAGCTGGGAAGCCTACTCCAACCTGTCCTACTATACGCGCACCCTCCCCCCAGTGCCAGAGGATTGCCCAACCCCAATGGGAGTAGTAGGTAAGAACAGCGTCTCTGCCTCAGGAGAACCAGTTTTCTCAGATTCTTAAATACTACTGTAATGAGGACAAGAACATCTTGCTCTTATTACATCATAGGAAGTGCACGCATCAAACTGATATTTTCTCCTGGATTAAAATGTGCTGAGGGAACACAGCAAAACCTGCCCCAGCAAGCCACAGCTAGAGTCTTAAAACTGCCTCTTGCACATTAGACCTAAAGAGCTGTAATTTTTCCTGCTATTAAAGTAGCTTCTTTCTGTATCTTATGCTGACTGTAATGTTCTTGTTTCCAGGCAAGAAGGAGCTCCCCGATATCAAGGTTTTGGCTGAGAAGCTCCTAATGAGGAGACAGTTTATACCAGACCCGCAGGGCACCAGCCTGATGTTTGCATTCTTCGCCCAACACTTCACACATCAGTTCTTCAAGTCTGACATGAAGAGAGGACCTGCTTTCACCTTGGCTCAAGGTCACGGGGTGAGTGCAGCAGATCTCAGGAAAAATTAGGAAGAAAACTGTTTCAATATGAAGCACATTTTAATGGTTTGGTTTATGCTTTTTAGGTGGACCTCAACCACGTTTATGGAGACAACCTGGAGAAGCAACACAAGCTCAGGCTTTTCAAGGACGGCAAGCTGAAATATCAGGTACGCTCAAAGGCAGCTGCAGTTCAGCCAGTCGAATGCTTCAGACCACTCCTGTGTCTCACAATCGCTTCCTGTCTTGTGTAACTCTGCAGATCCGGGATGGAGAAATGTACCCACCAACAGTAAAGGACGTGGGTGTCGACATGCACTACCCTCCTCATGTGCCAGAATCTCACCGCTTCGCTGTCGGCCACGAGGCCTTCGGCCTGGTCCCCGGTCTGATGATGTACGCCACCATCTGGCTCCGCGAACACAACCGGGTGTGCGACGTGCTGAAGGAGGTCCACCCCGACTGGGACGACGAAAGGCTCTTTCAGACCACAAGGCTCATCCTGATTGGTGAGTTTAAGAGTTTCAGTCACGTAGCTGAAAAAGTAAAGTCAGAATAATATGCTGGTGTTACCGCTAGAGTTTTAGAAAGAGGAAGTGGTGCTTTTTATTTTGGGAACACTTACCAACAGCCCTGTTTCTCGTACGCTGGAGCATTTTACTGAAAGGGGAAATGTTAAACAAGCCTCAAGATGTGCAAAGAAGAAGCAACAAGCAAAGCACATTCTAATGCCTGCATTATAAGAATGTGTGATTTTTTTGCCCTGTAGGTGAGACCATCAAGATTGTGATTGAGGACTACGTGCAGCACCTGAGCGGCTATCACTTCAAGCTCAAGTTTGACCCCGAGCTGCTCTTTAACCAGCGCTTCCAGTACCAGAACCGCATTGCATCTGAGTTTAACACCCTGTACCACTGGCACCCTCTGATGCCTGACAGCTTCCACATCGAGGAGACCGACTACAGCTACAAACAGTTTGTGTTCAACACCTCTGTAGTGACTGAGCACGGCATCGGCAACCTGGTGGAGTCGTTCAGCAAGCAGATTGCAGGACGGGTAAGAACTGTTAGAAAAACTTTCTCTGAGATTGTACCATCACTGTTGCTTTAAAGTGGCTATAGCTTACATTTTACTTACCTTTTTTTTTGTTTTTCAGGTTGCCGGTGGTAAAAATGTCCCAGGACCGATCCTGTATGTGGCCATGAAGTCCATAGAGCACAGCAGACAGATGCGTTACCAGTCTCTGAACGCCTACAGGAAAAGATTCTCCATGAAGCCCTACACCTCTTTTGAAGACCTGACAGGTGAGAAACGTTCAACATCATTTATAAAATGGAACACTTGTAGGTGGAAAACATGACATCAGAGGATTAATGAGGACGTTATTATCAACATTATTGCTGCATTTTCATGAACTGATTGCAGGAATTACTCTAAACAGATGAAAAAATGCTACAGAATACAGCTCATGATGTGGTTTACTCATTATTAGGGGAATGGCTCGGGCTCAGTTTTAGTCCCCAGCCGCTTTAGAGGTTAGGTATTTATTTCCGTGACTCTAAGAGCCAGATGTTCATTTCATCTTAAGATAGTGTAAGCAGATTGTCATCACAGAGAGCAAAGCATAAACAGACAGGAGAGACCTCCTGGTTCAGAGCAAAAGATTTAGATTCCTCGAGAAGAGGATTTCATCTTGATTTAAAAACTAAATGTGATGTATGAGTAAAGAAAAATGTTTGCTTGTGTATACCTGTAAGAAGATTAAAATGAGGAGGTAGCAAAGACAAGAGGAGAGATCATTTTTGTTTAAAATTCTGGCTCTGAATCAGCCAAAGCACAGAGGTCATATTTAGACTAACGGCAAACTTTGCAGCTGCTGAGCCAGTAAGAGAAGCCGAACTGAGTCACTCACTGAAACTGTTCCTTTGCTTGTTTTTTTCAGGTGAAAAAGAAATGTCCGCAGTGCTTGAGGAGATGTACGGCCACATCGATGCCGTGGAGCTCTACCCGGGCCTGCTGGTGGAGAAACCCAGGCAGAACGCCATCTTTGGGGAGACGATGGTGGAGATGGGGGCCCCTTTCTCCCTCAAGGGCTTAATGGGAAATCCCATCTGCTCTCCGGAGTACTGGAAGCCCAGCACCTTTGGAGGCAACGTGGGCTTCAACATCGTCAACACCGCCTCCCTGCAGAAGCTTGTCTGCGATAACGTGCGGGGGCCCTGTCCCGTGGCGTCCTTTCATGTGCCCGACGTTAAAGACACGGGGTCCATGATCATCAACTCCAGCTCGTCCCACTCGGGCGGCAGTGACATCAACCCCACGGTCATTCTGAAAGAAAGGACTACTGAGCTCTAATTTTATCTGATTATTATTGGGATATATATTTTATGTATTTATTTATTTATTTATTTGTATTATTTATTGCCTTTACTATTTATAGCATATAAGAAAGCGCAAGAACAGAATTTTTTAAAAATATTATTACGTGTTATTTTGTACAAATTCGTTATCAAGAACAAAAATCTGTGTTTATTTATTTGAACAATTCTTTGTATTGTAAGTTATTGTTACAGTAAGAACCTCAGTCACTGCAACTTGATACTTGAAAGTTAGTTTACAGTTAAATGGTAGCGTATGTTACACTCCTTATCGTCTTCTCAAAGTAGCTCCTGCTGCGCATCCACTTGTGCTCATGCAACTGATGATCTTCAGTGTCCTGCAGACAGCAAAACACAGGACAGTTGTAACATTTATAATGAACTGAATGACTGATCTTGACTGTTTAGATCTGATTTACTGCACAGCGCATTCCTTTTTCAGTGTTGTTTTCCTGATTTCTTTTCTACTTTAGTCTGTATGTCGCTTCCGGCAATCTGAAATGAGAGTAACTGCACAAGCTGCACTGTTGTTTAGAAATGCATAGTTACTCGATTGTACGAGCTTGACGTAGCAAAGGTATCGCTAGTTATGCTCTCAGTGACTATTTGTATTGCAATTTGATATCAATAAATTTTGACAGGAAGTCTTACATATTTCTGACTTTGTGTTTTCATATGAACCCTCTGATTGAGGATCCAACAGGCTTTTCCTCCTGAAGAAATAATGTAATCCAAGTGCAAAGCAATGAATATACCCATGAAAACTATCACTAGTTTTATATTTTATTTATTGGAGTTGGGGTGTGGCGACAACAAGAAACAAGGCACACATTTAAGGCACAGTCTGTTAACCCCATTGACTGTTAAGACAGTGTGTTAAATATGCAACATCCCACTGGTATGTTCATCGGGCTGGAATATCACATCACTGCAGAAACCAGTTTCACATCTATGTCACTGCATATGGAGGACAAGACAATGTGTTGTCATATGAACGCAGACCAAGTTGTCCTGAGTCAGAGGGATGATTTTCATGGTTCAGGTGAGAGGTGAATTAGTCACTGTATTGCCTCATAAAATTCCAATGATGTCTAAAATGTCTTTTTTCACAACTTCAACCGACTGAAAGAAAATAATCACACATCTCGTCTTCTTGAAATACATTTAAAAAATAATACACAATTCAGAATCAGAATCAGAAACACATTTATTGCCTGTTCACACAATATGAGGAATTTGTTCTGGTGGGTTGGTGCAACAAAACAACAATAAATATAGAGTGAGATCATTTCTCGTGAATCATAGTTAATTACTGAACATGTTCATTATTATATTTAAAACAGAATTCAGCCTTAATATGTAATAAATTCATAAAGCAGGGCCTTTTCTAAAATCTCCTTTTGAATAACTGGAATCCATTCTACACTGATTCGGGTCCCTTTCTCCACAGACCTCTGAAGGTGTCCTGGGGTATCAGGTACCAGCACCAAAGCCTTTAACTCCTGTAAGTTGTGAGTTGGGGCCTCCGTGGATGCAATCTGATTGTATAGCACATCCATCAAACTTAATTCTAGGGAGTCACGTTGAACTCTTCGTTTTGTTCCTCAACCTATTCCTGAATTATTCCTGCAGTGTGTCAGGAAGCATCATCCAGCTGAACGAAGCTACTGCAGTCGACTGCCGCTGTGAAGGGGTCCAGGTTCTGCAGCAGGGTTTAGGTGGGTGGTACGTGTCAAAGTCACGTCCACATGGATGCCAGGACCAGAGGTTTCCCAGCAGAGCATTGCCCAAAGCATCACACTGCCTCTTCCTGCTTGTCTTCTGCTGGAAGATCTCTTCACCAGGTAAACGATGCGCATGCATCAAGCCGTCCACATGACGTAAAAGAGAATGTGATTCGTCAGATCGGACCACCGGGTTCTGCTGCTCCATTGTCCAGCTCTCATGCCCATTGTAGGTGGTTTCAGTAGCGGACTGAGGTCAGTCAGAGCCCACTGGGTCTGGTCTGCGGCCACAGAGCCTCATACGCAGCAAACTGTGATGAACTGTGTGTTCTGACACCATTCTGTCAGAACCAGCATTTAGGTTTTCAGAAATCTGTGCTACAGTAGCTCTTCTGTGGGATCGGACCACACAGGCCGGCCTTTGCTTCTCACTCACATCAGTAAGCCCTTACAGGTCCGTGACCCTGTCGCTGGTTCACCAGTCGTCCTTCTTTGGACCACTTTTGGCAGGTAGCACTAAACACTGGATGCTGGGAACATCCCTCCAAGACCTGCTGTTCTGGAGACTGTTTAACCCAACACATCACCTTGAAGGACTGACTGTTCACGTGCTTCCCCACCGTTTGACAGGTGAAACAGCCTGTTAGTGGTTTTAATATTAAGCCTAGTCTGTGTATATTAAGTCATATTTTTTTTGTTTTTTAGATAGATAGAGGTACCCTACTAAAGGGATCAATAAAGCTCTATCTAATCTAATCTAAGGTCACACGAGTCTTCTGAGTCTCTTTAGTTATTCAAATAGAAAGAAGGAAGTTTATCTATTTAACATCTCTGTCCAATCATCAGACTGCTTCTTATGAAGACCATCAGATAAGATGAAGCTCAAGAAAAAGACCAAGAGTGGAAGTAGAGTTAAGAATAGTTCGTCTGCTACTCTCTCCCAGGTCAAGACTTTTTCAGCTGCTCTCTTACAGTCTGTCTGAGCATGTTTCTCATCTACAGGTATGAAAACAGAAGACACAGAAGAACAAATTACCAACGGATGCTTTATCTCAGTAATACAGTGAATGAAACCGATAAGAAAAAAAGTGAGTTCAGCTTCAGAAAAACACTCTTTCTTCTCATGCATTCCCTTCATTATCACCGTCCTCTACAGTCCACTTTGTGCAGCTCAGGAGCTTTCTTCCCTCCTCGACATACGCGATAAAACATGTAGACACTTGCCAAGCTCGAGGAAGTCTGTGTGCTTTGAGGCAACATGGCACGATTTTCTGCTTCCCGGAACAGTGAGGTGAATCAGTGAAGATCAGGATTTGCTCACTAAAAAAACGTCAATCATGCTTTGACGCTATACATGTAGGTTAGAAAGACAGCATCTTGAGGTAAAGGAGGAGTGTTGTTTGGGCAATGCTGATCTATTCCAAGCAACAGTTTCTGTGTACTGCCTCTGTTTTGATATTACTCTGTTGTTTTTGTACGACTAACAACACACGCTATATGACGTGTGTCAAAGAGGAAATGGGGAAACGTGGTATTGTGCACATCCCTAAAACTTTCCAGCAGTTGACAGAGGCTGCGCTTTGCCGGGAAAAGATGTGGACGGGTATTTGGGCAGTTTTACTGTATATGAGGTGTGAGGATTAGCGTTCAGTCCAGCAGCGTACAGGAAACCTTGCCTCAGCAGTATACGCTGGCCGTCCAACAGGGGAATGCTGGGTTTTTGTTTTTTTTTTTTCTCGGGTAGCCATTCCAAACTAAATATGGCGGAAGGAATGTTGACGTGACTGGCAGCACAGAGTGGTGAGTCAGGCCGCCGGGCATCATCCCTTCTAAACACAGACAATGACAAGCTAAATTTTCCCATCCATTCACACGTTTCTCACAATTGATACAGAGAGCACATTTACTCTCTCCCCCCACACCGGACGGTTAGAGTTCCAAACACAAAACCACATACACAAGTGAGCAAATTGCATCAATTAAGTCATGTGCATCAGATGTCATCTCAGCTGAACCTCATGAACAGTTCCTTCCTCTATCGAATAATCTTTGTCCCGCACTTCAAAGCACGCGTAGGGTTCGCCGTCGGAAGGGACTTGGTCTATCGCGGCATGAAAATGACCTAATTGTGTGTGCACATTGCTTGTTTTCCCCACAGCCAGTTGCCCGAGGGGTGAGTATTATTATTCCATTGTGCATCAGTGTGCTGCATGCCCAGGTCCTGATCTATGAGACCGAGCAGGGGAACACATCTCGCTTTGTGTGGGTGAAATGAGCATGGGCATGTCGTGGGCCCTGGTGCGGGACAAGATCAGAAGGGCTTCAGTGTGTGTGTTTTCCCTCTGACCGCTTCCGAACCTCTCTGGAACCAGACCCGGTGTGGCGGCTGTGACCGAAACCAGAATTACGTGACGCCGTGCAGGTGGCGGTAACGGAGGTCAACTGGGAGCTGGTGCCGGTCGCATCAGCGCGTGAAGCACTGGCACCGGAACACCGGAAACGGAAACTTCATCTCGCACGAGTTTGTACGAAATTTGTTCAATAAATTAAATCATCAAACTGAACTTCAGCGACCCGAGGCAATGTTCTGATTAAATCAAATTCCAAAATGCTTGAGAATGCTGAAAAATACGATTTCATCCCAAAACGTGTCTGTGAAGATTCTCAGTCATCCAGGTCATGGTTGCTCTGGTAGATTAATCGTACCAACTGGACTTGCTTGAGTTCCTTGAAGATGTTCCAGCTCTCATCCAAGAGGCTTCATCAGCTCTGACTGAGTAGTTGGGAGTTCCAGATATCCTGAAGGAGTCATTAACACCTGAGTTTCAATTGGGGGTTTGTTGCTCCTCCCCCTCGTCATCTTCCTGGGAAGAGGAAGATGAAACCGCATCCACACCGAGCCACAAAAGACCCTAACGAACCCCATGGTGGCAGGGGGAACACTAATGACCCAGATAACGAGGGGGAGGAGCAACAAACTCACAATTGAAACTCAGGTGTTAATGGCTCCTTCAGGATATCTGGAACTCCCAACTACTCAGTCAGAGCTGATGAAGCCTCTTGGATGAGAGGTGGAACGTCTTCAAGGAACTCAAGCTGCTGCTACGATTAAACTACGAGAATACTTCCCAAAACCAATTCATAAATCTTTAAAAAGTCTTTTGCCTGAAATAAAAGTTAAAACCAAAACATATTCTGTTGAGAGCAATGCGTTCGGTCTTTACGATGGATTATTCTGAATCACAAACTGTTTAGGTTCTGGCAGAAATGATTAATCAGTCATCCCAACGGCTGGAGATGAATACCTGAAGATCACCAGTTGTTTTATATTCTGAGTAAGAGATGCTATATTGGAAGAAACAGTGAAGTTTCTTTGTGCACAGAATCAAATGAGGTGGGGATTGCTCTTAGTGAGCTAAAAACTGGAACAGAGCTTCAGCATATTTGCTCAAGCAATTCAGAAGAAAGGATAATTATAGCCTACGGGCTGCAACTTTGTCTAACCTGAATCCGCCCACATGCTGGCGGGAATCTTCTTGGTTTTTTTTTAGGTTCTGTCTTGATTTCTAACGCTGTGCTCCACCATGACGACAAGTGTTTTGCTGCTGTTGAAGCCACAGGGAAGACCTCCATTTGTCAATGCCGGTGATGTCATTCTCACTGAATGATCATGGTTTCACCTGACACCTGACACACACACACACACACACACTAATAGCATTTTTTTCATACCGTCATGAGCTCACGACAGTTTAGGCAACAGTGACTGTCGTAAGACGAAGTCAGGCGCATGTCGGATGTCGGTCACGTAAAATTCCTATTAAATACACACTAACAATAAGTTTATTTTTGATCTTTGGGTTTGGCTGATTGCTTCTTAGATTGTTTACCTGGTGATTAAAAGAATTCCTGAAACGACCAGGATGATCA